GCAAAAAAAAAGCTTCAGGGCTGAGCAAGGCCAAAATAACTAACAAAACATTTACTAACTCCACCCCGAAGATAACTTACCTACTGAATCAAAAATAAATGAAGAAAATAAATTACAAACACTGCCCTTACTCCTTAACTAAAAGAAAAAAACAGGAGAAAATCAGTGTCAAAGTAAATGGCGCTCAGCCCCTACGGCGCTCAGCTCACAGGTTTATCAAACGGTATTTGACAATCACAAAAAAATTGAAGGGGAGAGGAAAAATGGAGAGAACACCTTAATGTTCACAATTTATAAACAAACAGAAGCACTATGATATGTTTTCCACACGAACGCCACACTCTTAGAAAAACTCTCCGTCTCTCCCCCCCAGCGATCTGACTCCGTCGGTTCCTTTTCAAAAGATGCTGACTTCTCCCAGCACCAACCACAGCGCACGCACGCAGCACGTCCAATTAGGGCGGGGTAACCTGGAAACAGGAACGGGACAGGACGAGAGAGGGAAAAAGAGAGAGACACACAGCAGCACAGAAACAACCCAATACGCTCTTGCGTAACACTCTGAACAGCCGAGCGTCCCTATACGCAACCCATACCGCCGAACCACCAGGGGTCGCCCCTTGCTTTAAAACATGAGTCTTCTGTGCTTTCGCTTTGTTTAGGAATGAAAACTCTTATAAATAAATATTAAAAACGGCGCGATTCCATTTCCTATTGATTACAGGTGCCGTCGCCCATCCTATACAATCCTCAAAACAGTCATATAATGTTGCATGACTGTCAGCTGACGAGCTGCATAGTGATAAACAGATGCTGTTTCCCAAACGGATTCTGTACACACGATTTGAAGCGGAGAGAAAGTCTGGCTTTGGGGTGTGTGTTTAAACAGACATATACACATAATTAATAATAAAAACATATAAGGACGTCGATCTTAGCGGGATCCTAATCGTACTGCATATAATGTTTTCATCCTGTGCATTGATGTTGCATTGAGTGCATGCAGTATATTCAGGAGTCAAACCCATGACCTTGCAGTCTCCGCACAGGAAAGCTTACAGCTCTAATAGCAAAATGATGATCGGTTTAAAAAAGGAAACACCTTTGAGATGAAGGTCTGAGAGGTGAACTTGACCTTCATCCTGCTCCAAAAAAATCAAAAATCCCCTTTTAATGTTGAAAATCACCTCCTGTCCTCATTGCCTGAGATGTGGATGCAGATTTTGTTTTTGGGTTTGGTTGCAGCACATCTGAATGCTTTTTTTTTTTGTCCTGATGTAAACGTGACCGTGCTGGCGATCTGAGCTAATGTTTCTTCAGCAAGCCGTGACCGCTCGCTGGCGTTTCTGCAGCTCTCTTTCTTTTGTGTTGGCCAGGCTTTTCACACGCGCGCATGCCAGCGCTTTTATGCTCCGAAAGATTTCAATCCCCCGGAGAGCGGCCAGTGTCAATCGCCGCAATTATGCTGCTCAACAAATGCCACACGTCTTCGTCCCTTTAGATTTCGACTGCAGGTGCTCGGGACAAATCGGTGGAAATGCAGACTTTTAAAATCGATCTGAGAATCCAGTGTTATTATCCAGAGCCTGAGCATGCTGGAGATGCTGAACTGTTTACATCACTGCATGGGCTTTTATTTGGGAATCAGCATGCATTTATTTAGGCCCTCCTGTGAATTGTTTCCAGTTTTTAAAATCGTTCCCAAGTGATGTTGAACAGATTCAGGAAATTTTCACAGTATTTCCCATAATATTGTTTGTTCTAGAGAAAGTCTTATTTGTTTTATTTCGGCTAGAATAAATGTAGTTAAATTTTTTTTAAACACCATTTTAAGGGCAAAATTATTAGCCCCCTTAAGCTGTAGTTTTATATTAGTTTGTGATTGTCTCCAGAACAAATCACTGTTATACAATGACTTGCCTAATTACACCAACTTTACCCTAATTAACCTAGTTAAGCCTTTAAATGTCACTTTAAGCTGTATAGAAGTGTCTAGAAGAATATCTAGTCAAATATTAGTCTTGTAAGAGTAATTAATATGAAAGCAGTGACCGCTGCTGTTTACAAAAGAATATGTGTATTTGTTTTTTATCTTGACCTCTTGAAAGCAGCAGGACTGTGGGTGCATGATCGCTCTTTGTCCAGACATTTGTCTAGACATTTTAAAAACCTAACTTTTTAAAAATGTCAGTATTGATTGGTACCCAATTCCAGTATCGTGACAATCCTACAAGAATATATTTCTGACCAGTTAATGGTTTGTTAAATGCAAACAATCTACCTTTAAATTGTAAGGCTTGAAGCTTACGCTGCTATTCTGAACCATTAATCGGAAACGGAAAGCAGTTGAAGGATGGCGTGTTTAAATCCATTGTTTATCTGACTCCATTGTAATTAATCTGACTCCATTAAAGTTGTTATTATCATTGATAAAGAGAATCTCTGTCTTAAAGCAGGCAAAGTTGTTTATTACATTACATGTTTAAATATTTAGACAGTAGAATGAAACAAACTAACATAATGTATAAAGAAATTAGCTGTAATATGTGCACTGCTGAGCAACAAAGACAGTGGCTGTTTCTCAATATCAAGTACGCAAAGTTCGGACTTGTGTCCTTGGAAGTTCAGACTTGCCAAGTTCACACTTGGAAGAACGAACTCTCGAGGACGCAAGGACACAAGTCGGGTACTTTTTCAAATGGAACAGCAGTGTACTTTATCTTTACCTTAACGTCACTTACCTCACCATGGATTCATCAGTTTCACTGTACATTAACAATAAAATTATTTAATTAATATTATATTAATATTATAAATTACATTTTTGATTTAAGAAAATGTACACATTCATATAAATGTGAATTAAAATGAGTTATTATACACAGACACCTGTCTTTGATTATCAGATTTATTAAACTACAATGGTAATTATACACACAATAAGAAATAAAGATTACGTCAAGCAATTTGGTAATCAAAGACAAACAGTGTACAACACCGTAACATAAATAAAGACAATTATAAAAGGTAACAATAACAATGCCAAAATAATACAGCTGAGAACAAATAATAGATTTATAAGACCAAAAACTGTCCGTTAGATATTCCCAAGATGTATTAAATATCCTGTTTTAACTACAATGGAGAGATGAGATCCAGCGGTACGTCCGGGATGGCCTGGCCTAAGTAAAGCTGCTCTGGGGGGGAGCTGATGACGGAGCTCCCGCTGGCAGGCTGGGAGTCAGAGTCCGCATAAGCTGAGCCACATGGTTAAAGAAGCGCTATCGTTGTGAATAAACTGCCGATTCGAGTTTAAAACAACTACATTCTCGCCTGAAAAACTGTTAAAACTTTATTTTGTGACACAGTAAAAGAGCATTTTTAAAACCGTGCGGGTTTTCTCCTCCGCCATTAGCGCTTGCTGGTTACGCTGCAATGCATTCTGGGATACCTGAGCTTCGCAAGTTCGCACAAGTCACCTCTCGATGCATCCTTGGCCAAAGGCCAGAGCAAGTACACATCCGGGAATTTCATGTGTACTTGGAAAGATGTGAACTTTGAATTGGAACAGTACTTTGGCGACGGTTGATGACGTTTCACGAGGACACGAGAACGCAAGTACAGACAAGAACACATATTGAGAAACAGCCAGTGAAACTGCCTTTGTTAGCATATGAGGCTACGCACCAGTGTGCGGGAGATGCAGAGTAAAAGCCATTCTCCCAGATCAACAGGTACCTTTCCTTATTATACCCTGAGCAAAGCATTGTCAAACAAGAGTGAAAACCAACCCCCAAAACCAGCTGAACATGAGAGCAAAGTTGAGGAAATAAACTGGGGGAGAAGAACATTAACATACTCTCATCAGATCATGACTCAACAATAGTAAATATATTGTACATTGAAATACAATCAATCAATGTCTCTGTTGATTTCATCACTACAACGCTGAAGTCATAAACTGTCGAATGACACCAAACATGACACAGTTATATGAAGGAAGATCACGGGTAGAGCAATTGTGTATGGTGAAAAGCACATGGTTGTGTATCAGCACAGAGATGTGTATCGGAGCTGTGAGGAACTCTGCCTCACCAGGAGGACCCACCCATGCTTGGAATGTCACTGTAGTCCTTCATTAGCATAGAAGGAATAGTGTATAATATTTTCTCGGCTTACAAAATAAAGTGACCATAATAGTTGTACAACAGCTTAAATTAAAAAAGAAAAAGAAAATCACTATGTAAATCAATAATTATACCAGCCAATGCTCACGTTTTTCCCGGGAGTCTCCTGATTTCAGATCCATCTCCCGCCACCCTCCCGTTTTGTTATTTCTCTCAGGAAAACTCCCATATTTTACCCTGAACTGCAGCGTCCCCCACCTCAGGGCCTTTTGGTACCGTCTGTAACACCCGATCGCAGCCGCTGCCTGGTACATAGTCTGGTTCTATCAGACACCTCCCCCCCCCCCCTTGTCTCCCTGATTTTTAGAGACAAATGTTGGCAGGTATGTCAATAATGGATATAATCAGTTAGAAAATAATACTGTCATCATTTATTTCTAAAAGTCCACATGAACTGGAAGCTGTGAACATTTTTTATTATATTTTTTAGTTTTTAGTACTGCGAGCTGATTGGATGGAGTAAACTAGGCGTTTTATTTAGAAAGATGGGGGAAAGGGCTTGGGTAGAGTTATTACAACCTAACAGACTCCTCATGCTCACTATTACTGTTTGTCTTAAAACTAACAGCTGGAGGGGGCGTTGTTATGTATGTTAGCCACGCCCAACATCTCACACAGAATTGGAACTGAAAACAAACAGGAAGTGCATTTTCAGATTAAGATTCTAGATTACAAGGTCAAACTGTTTTTTTGTTTATTTTAATGACATGCACAGATGAATTATTCACCACAAAACTAGCAATGTGAGCTAACGAAATCAATATGGTTAGTTTTGAATTCATGTGGACTTTAAATATGCTCTCTGTACCTCAGGATATGGTGCGTCGCGGTGAGATCCTGGATGATGCGATGGATGATGAGTTTTACCTGCGGCGTCTGGACGCTGGACTCTTCGTTCTTCAGCTGCTCTGTTATATAATGGTGGAGATCTGTGCCGCTGGAGTTCCTCAGGTAGAGTACTGGCCACCTGCTTCATTTCACTCAGCTGAAGGCCAACACTTTTATACTGAACCGTGTGTTTTATCTGCAGTTACAGCAGAGAGTCCATCAGATCCTCAATCTCAGAGGGGGATCCGTCAAAGTAGTCCGGCATATAATGAGAGGTGAGAACATCCATGATGTGTTTCCATCTAAATATGCGAATTAGAGTTGTGCACGAAACCAGAATGCTGCAGGAAACATTTGCGAGTAAAGCAAGGCTTACAAGTCAAATGAGTCAAGTCGAGGTTTATTTATTTCTTTAAATTATTTATTTTCTTTTACTTTATTTATAGAAGTTTTTGTAAAAACATAACACCAAATAATGTGCATCATGTATATATGTTAACAAACTTGTCTCGGTGTTATTACCTTATACTAACTAGAACATGCACCAAAACACAAGCAAACATAACAGCAATTTCACAGCACCATCACAAAACAATAAAGACATTTTAGCCAGACTGATGGAATAAGAAACAAAATAGAATAACATGTAAAGAGGAAGTGGAGAGAAGAAAAAAAAAATTATTACTAGAAAAAAATATTACAGAAACATTAATAAACTATACATCTAAGGAAGGGGCCCCATGTTTTGTCATACACCTTTTGTTTGCTAAATCTAGAGAAGCGTAACCTTTCCAACTTGAGGGGAGAAACAAGTCGAGGTTTATGAGTCAAAGAGAACAAAAGCATCACCTCCTGATAAACTGGAGCAAATATCATTCATTCATTCATTCATCTTCTGCCGATTTTCCGGGGCTGCGGGGGCAGCAGTCTTAGGAGGAAACCCCAGACTTCCCTCTCCCCAGACACTTCCTCCAGCTCCTCCGGAGAGATCCCGAGGTGTTCCCAGGCCAACCGAGAGACATAGTCCCTCCAGCTTGTCCTTGGTCTTCCCCGAGGCCTCCTCCTGGTGGGACATGCCTGGAACACCTCCCTAGGTAGGCGTCCAGGAGGCATCTGAAACAGATGCCAGAGCCACCTCAGCTGACTTCTCTCGATGTGGAGGAGCAGCGGCTCTACTCCGAGCTCCTCCCGGGTGTCAGAGCTCCTCACCCTATCCATGAGAGTGCGCCCTGCCACCCTTTGAAGGAATCTCATTTCGGTCGCTTGTATCCGAGATCTTGTCCTTTCGGTCATGATCCAAAGCTCATGACCATAGGTGAGAGTAGGAACATAGACTGACCGGTAAATCGAGAGCTTTGCCTTTCGGCTTTGCTCCTTCTTCACCACAATGGACGGGTACACCGACCGCATTACTGATGCCGCTGCACCAATCAGCCTGTTAATCTCACGTTCCATCCTTCCCTCACTCGTGAACAAAACCCAGAGATTCTTAAACTCCTCTACCTGGGGTAAGGACTTTCCACCAACCTGGAGATGGCAAACCACCTTTTGCAAATATCAGAGAAATTTAGTTTAATGCCTTGGGATTTGCCACTGTGGTGTTTTTTTTTCTCTAATAAATGAGTTGCACCTCATAAGACGAAGATGAAACGCAATGAACGTGGTGAATGTGGTGTCTTTTGGAGGCGCGAGGCGCTCTTTGGGAGCGCAGACAGACGCTCAACACAGTTCTGGAGGGATTAATAATAGAATAATAGTAATACTGAAGCCCTGTGATGATAGACTGACAGCTGAGGTGTTTGAGAAATGACCAAAACAAGATTTCAGATGTTTTACAATGTGCTGGAAATGCTGGTTTATGCATTAATGCGTCCCATCATGCACATGTTTATCTGATCATCATCATCTGTGGAAAACTAAAGGCCCAGGCACACAGAGACGTTTTTTGCTCACGTTTTCTGTCGACGTTTAACGCCTTGTAACCAAATAAAGGGCGTCAATGTGATCGTGCACACCAACGCGCAAAACGCCAGGCACAAAAGCGTCATTCAAAAAAAACGCCTCATGCTCGTTTTTTTGTTTCCACCAATCAGATCGGCACTTTTGTTCACGTGCACGAAGCTGCTGAAGTTACTGTAAACAGCACTTGGAGGCGCTCAAGTGCAAAACTGTCAGTGCGAGCGCACATTGAAGAAGATGCCCAGAGGCGATATGAACGTGGAGCTGCTTATTGCTCTGGTGAACACTAATCATTTCTTCATCGCTAGAGCTGGAGCTGCTGCTTGAACCATCTATGCTTGTTTGAGTCACCAGTAACTTTATAAACAAACGTGCAAACTTCCTCTCCTCCTCTTCTTCTGTGTTATAACCGGGTGTCAGAAGCTTATAGTTGTGCAGCGCCATCTAACGTCAAAAGAGTGATTTAGCATACTCTTCAGCTTGACGCCAGTGAAAAGCGCTTGGGTTTAAACACTGAAAAACGTCTTGTAAAACGCTGACGATAAACGCAAAATCAAAACGTCCCGGTGTGTAGGAGCCTTAAGGCTACATTTGCACTGCAGATCTTGATTGTAAATTCAGATTTTGTGATTGTAAGTGATTTTATTTTATTTTTTATTTGTGATGACCGGCTTACATCATCTTTTAAAAGTGACTTGTATCCGATTGTCTGCACGGCCACAGGGCAAAGGTGCAATGACCAGAAAAAAAAAGAGCGGGCGCTGACTGACAGCTGATAATAAAGGAGCGCTCTTTACTCCATTCCTGTATTTAATCTGTTTGCAGGGTTTCATTTTTTAGATTACTTTTTGACGAGCTGTTTCACTATAGTTTATGACAGAAAGGTTCTCATTTGGCCATCTTTTAACCTAGGCCTTTTTAAACCTTTAGGCATCCTAATGTAATGTCCATGGCGTGATTTATGTTCATGATGTAGCTATGCACTAGTTTTATTTTAGTTTGCATTGGTTACGTGGCGGCTCTCTCGCTCTTAACATGCTTAAATACCTGCGCTATATGACAATATAAAAGCTGTTTAAGTCCTCGTGTGCGAGATTTAAGGTTTGGGACTCTGCTGAAGTCTGTTCTGAAATAAAAGTGTCAGGTTTATGCCGAGATCAGACTGCAGGATTTTCAAAGTCGTAGTGTCACAGATGTTTTCACACTGCATGACTATCTGGGCTAGTGTTTCGTTGCTGCTTTGTTTACACTGCAAGATGGATCGACGACAGGGGCTTTCACATTGCATGACTTTACAACTGTAAGAATTGCTGACAACTTCGCCCAAACTACATCTCACAGCCAAAAACACGTCGTATATTTTTTGTTATTAACGACATAATGAGAAAGAAGAATTTAAAGGAGGAGAATTAGTAATTTCTCCTCAACTTTCTTTTTTGACCCTGTTGTGACTCGGGTGCTCCTGTCAAACCTCCACTAGTTTTCCCCCCATTTCTTGAGTCCAATTATACCGAAAATGAGCGCTTTTAATTGCTCCCCCTACCTCCCGCTGGCCTGCAGGTACACACACACTAGTGAATGCTGCTCTTTCATTTTCTGTAGGCGATCGTCGATGTTATTTTCAGTGTAAACTCATTTCACACGGCATGATTTGAATCGCCGACAGCTCCAAATATTCGACTCATCGGCGATTCTCTCAGATGGCGTCTTTGATAGTTCACACTGTGTGATTGTCACTCATGTGCACGAGGAGCGATTTGCCTGTGAATTCAGGCATTTGTTGGCGATTTCTCAAAACCTTTCGGCGAGCCAGAATCGGGGCTAAAATCATAGAGTCTGAACTCGGCTTCAGTCTCATGAGTTTTTGATGCTGGAATTTTTTTGGTAAATTTTATTTAATTGTAGTTTGTGCAGTTTTTCTGATCAGATAAAAAGTTACTCACATTTTTTTCTGCACATTTTCACTTAGTATTTTTTTGTGTGTTTTATATTTTATGAAAAATACAGTACATATACTGTACATTTTGATATAACAGAGACCTTGAGTGGATTTTAAAACCTTGAATTTTCCAAACCTTGAAACCGGTTATCGTCGCATGCCTCGTCACAATAATATCTTATCACAATAATATATTGCGGGAATGCAATAGGATTGCCACCCCTGCTCCTCATATAGTCTGAAAGTGTGCTTTTGTCCTGAACACTGAGTCTGGTGAGGTCAGTGTGAACAGGTGGATGGATGGATGAAGACTCCTCAGACGTTTATCAGTCTTTAGTGTTTTAGATAAGTTCACTCAGCAATAAGTGCAGTATCAGGAGGATTGCTTTCTGCAGGCCAGGAGCTCATGAAGGGTTTCTCTTCACTCTTTCCCTCTTTCTTTTTCCTCCATGCGCTCTCTCTCTTTCTCTTGAGTGATGTTACTCATTGGCTTCGCCCACTCTTCAGCCCACAGCACCTTGATTAAGTCTTGACAGCTCTCTCTCTTTCTCTCTTTTTGCTCTCTCACATGCTCTTTCTTCTCTCTCAAACTTGTGCTCTCTCTTTTACTTTTATTTTGCTTTTAATCTTTTTTCTCTCTGTTTGTCTTTCCCTTTTGATTGATTATTGTTATCATTATAGATTCATGCATGATCTTTTGTCTTTCAAAACAACCTGATGGTTAAAACGATTTTTGAAAATTGTTGAAAATACATCATATTTGACTAGATAGTTTTCAAGACACTTGTACGCAGCTTAAAGTGACATTAAAGGCTAATTAACTAGATTGATTAGGTTAAAGAACAGAACAGAGCATTTTCACGCACCCGCAGTGTTTCCAACAACACAGAAAAAAAAACAAAAAAAAAAGAACAAAATAAATAATATTAGGGATGCTCTGATCTAGATATTTGCAGCCGATACAGAGTACCGATTCCTTGTCATTGTGATCGGCCGATATCGAGTACCGATTCTGATGCTTCAAGCTTTATAATGCATTGAGCACATTTTTCCTATAAGTTGGCTGAAGTGAAGTTTTCTCCTTACCTAAGAGAATAAATGAAGAATGTTGCATATAATCCCTTAAACACATCTCTTATAACCATTAAGGGCCTACTCACATTATGCCATCCGTACCGTGCCCAGGCCTGTTTCCCGGATCGTTTGAGACGTGTGAGTGCGCTGAATCGGGCTCAAGCACGGTTCACTTGGCCGGCCCTAGCCCGGTTGGAAGAGGTGTGCCTGAGCCCGGTTCACTTGGGCTTTCACACACGCTTGTGTGCGAGTGCAATACACGCCAAAGCCCGAAACTGAAAGCGAGACGTGACTTTTAAGGGA